TTTATTTTTAATTTCGACTCCCATTTTAATTTTGAAATATCAAAATTTTGAAATGGTATTTCGGGGTCAATTTCGGGATATTTATATTTCGGGTTTCGGGTCCCAAAATAATTTTGCGTGCAAGTATAGTTATCGGTATATATTATCAGTATATGTTATCTGACTTTTTCTGGCTTTGAGCAGTTACTGCGAAAAGGCAGGATAATTAACCTATCATGTGATGCTATAAAAAGAATTCGAATGTAATGCTGTGCACGGGCTTTGCCCGATAGAACCTGCATGCATAATTTGATCATGCGATACACCGATTACCAAATTTAATTAGTGCCCCTTACATTCTGCATATCTGTGTGAAAACATCTCAAAAACATATATATAGCATCACTTTTTTTTTTATTCTCATCAGTTTTTATTTATATTTATCGCAGAACTAAAGCAATATGTTGTACTTTTTACAAATAGGGTATCGATAACCTGGTTTGAATAATCGACTCGAGATATGTACATACTCTTTGTTCTCGTGCATATACTGACTTCTTTCATAACCCATAAGTCAAGATACTAAAAAAGGGAATAATGAGACACGTTAAAAGGAGAGTATAGTGGTGTTGTTGAAAGATTTATTTGCGTCTTTATTCGCAATTTTGATTTACTGAAATATTATATCTTTTACTGCCAATATGTCACATTTAGTATCTAAGATTGAAACACTTTTTCTAGAAGAACCATTAGATAGTCTTTGTGGGGCATCTGCAGTTTACCTGACGATAGAAAACAATATTTTACCTTCTCTTGAGCACGTAAGAGAAATAGTAGATCGTGCTGTAAATTCATCCCTATTGAAAATAGAAGAAATTGAACGAAGGGGGAAAGTTTCAGAAGTATCAACTCAAGTTAGTATAAAGTATAATTTATCGTCTAAATCTTGTAATATTTAATGATGAGTCTGTGATAAATGTGAATATTTAGTTTTGGTATGTCATAGCTAAAGGTTGGGGAATGCCAGCTCAGAAGAGCAATGTCTTCTAGATGTTGAGAGTTTGCTCCTCTCTAACTGTGCGTGACTATTCAATCAAAACGATGATATTATAAGTTCTGAAAACGCGCATGTGTGGGAGTAGTGTATTGGCCATACCTTCTTCGCTAATAAATATTTAATGCGGGATTAATTTAATGTACCAGTACTGATTATTATTGCATTTATCATAGATTGCAAGTGGCTATATTAGTGTTCGGGGTCTGAAGTCCTTCAAAGCGTTAAATATGGAAAGAAAGTCAGCTTCAGATTATAGTCATATGGAAATTACGTCAAATATTAATAAATTAAAATACAAGCTTGAGGTTTGTCTTAGCTATTTTAATATAATGAGATAACGGAGCTAGTGTTATGTCACTTATTTTTTATGATCCTTGGATCAGCCTTCAGGCCTGAAAAATTAATGAATTTTTATAATAGCATCCTGGTACAGAAGTCGATATAAATCTTTATGGTTCTCTCCGACAAGCTTTTGAAAATATAAAGCCCTCAGAACTTATATGGCGAGATCCTGAAGCGAGTATGGTTCTTAGCGATGAATCAGATATGATAAAAAACTTAGGACGTCGACAGAAGAATGTTTTTTTGGAACCACGAGAAAATATGAAATGCGATATCCCTGAACTAGTTATAGCAAAATGTGACGAATTTGTAAGTAGTTTTAATAATTTGGATACTTCGCAAGCTACAAGATTTTTTTTTCATGACAGGAAATGGAAAGAAAGTGAGAGTAAATTGGTGAAAGTTACCAATCGCATTCTTGATACACTGTAAGTATTATTCTAATTCTTAAGTAATTCGCAAAGTGTAAATATCTAATATACTTTTTATTAGTGGCAAAACATGGAGAAACCCTGCATTTATGAGTAGCATATCACGTAGTGAACAGAGTGAAGGAACATATATTTCAGATATTATAATGCCTTTACTTCGTTCGAGCTTAAGGGATCTACTTAATGGGGACATCTGTTTAAGTACAGCGGAATGCCAGAGTCTGGCTAGTAAAGCTCGACGAAATGCTGGAGTGGTTGAAGAACGAATGGGAAAAAAACTCGATATCATGGGGCTAATGAAGCAAGACAAAAAAATCATAGAATTAATGTATCTCGAATCTTCACGCATTCTTTGTAGTAATTCAAAAAAAGCGGATGATGGTGTAAAATTATGGAGAGAGACTTTGGATGGGGTGAGCTTTATAGATGCATTGTGTAGACCAGTCGGCAATCAATTTGGAATAGTCGGAATTCAGATCGCTGGTACTACCATTCGATTAAATGTTCTTATGAAGGATTTGGGTGGTATACCAAGATATTTTCATCTCGATCACACTGAAATCCCATTATTGCCACATGTGTCACATACTAAAGCTCTTATTCGCCTATTATTGACCTTAAGAAATATTATGATTGTAAATAAGAGTTTACTATTGCGAGCATTAGAACAAGCCAGCACTCACCCACCACGAAATGTTGGCCCAAGCCCCACTGTTTCATCACCACCTTATAATAATTAATAGGTAAGTATAGGAAGTATTATTTGGGTATAGATTTTTTTGTATTTTTCTTAGTATATAGATATCATGTATTTTATGTGTCTTGACACTAGCTCCGCTATCCTGTATTATTATCACATATCAATATTTTATTAAAGATTTTTGGTTAGAGGAACGTACAATGCATCATGTGTTATTTTTTCGTGTAATGTATCAGGTGTTATTTTTCCGAAATAATTTTCTTGGCAAAATTTCAGCGAACTAGTTCGCCAAAATCACGTGTTTATTTTTATTCACTGGTTAATTGCATCGGGTACGATCACGGTTAAGACCGCTAAATTATATGAGCGATCAGGGTACGATCACGGAATCAGCAGAGCTGGACCAAAAGACACGCACTAGTAATTTTTTGTGTAATGTATATGAGTAATTAATAGCGGAGGCACATAATTTTTCCGGAATAATTTCTTGGCAAAAGTGATCGGCGTTCCAAATTGGAACGCGCATATGTCTGATCTATCTAGCTTAACCGATTCATCAGCAGAGTTGACACGGTCAAAATTATCAGAAATCGAGGTAAGTAAAGAAGCCTCACCGGAAACCGAGGTAAGTGCACCTTCTGAAACCAAGGTAAGTATATCTACTGAATCTCACGTTTCCAATTCACCCACGCCAACCAAATCTCGACCTCCAATTACCGAGCTACCTGATGATCCTAAGGAAAAACAAAAACATGTAATTAAAATGGCATTGGAACGGTTTCCCGTTTTATCTTTGAAATATAGTACTGGGAATACAGATTATTTTGACTGTTCAATAACCTGCCCTTTATGCAATAATAATCATAAAAAAGAAAATATAAAAAATTGTATAGAGGGTCTATGGGGTAGTGGAGATTATGTCAATACAAGAACTTATCGCCTCAGATGCTGGGGAAATAAATATCAGAATTCAATCCAAATAGTAACTGTAAAAGCTTAGATTAACTTATGTAATAGCGTACGCATATATGTATATGATTACTATGTAATCGACTTCGGCAATAAATTATTTTTTCATCGTGATTATACTACGAAAAAGTCAATACCTAATTTGAATTGATTTACTATCATGTAAAACGTTAATATGGAAGAGCAAAGCACAGAACCCAAAACTCATAAAACACTAACTCCTGAATATTTGGAGTGGGAAGCTGAAATTACTGTAGCGCCAGGTATTTCGATAGATGAGATTCGTCCTAAGTTATGTAAACGTTATAAGGAAGAAACCGGCCTTGATCCTTGGATAAACTTTGATTCTTCACAAATAATGACAAATATACAACCCAAAATTAATTTACCAGAATTGGTGTGGCAACGATTTGAAGTTCTTTGGGATGCATTCTACAATTTAGTATCTGGATATGATGAATTAAAAAATGAGAATATCAAAATCAAAACTGAGAATGCAAAGTTAAAACATGATTTAGGTGAATTTAAAAAAGAACTAGAGTCTAAGAAAAATCGTAAATTTCAGGAAAAATGTATCCTAATAGCTCAAGTATTACTTGGAGAAAAGCCGATAATTGAGTATCGTCCTCCTTCTTGAATGGATTGGAACTTGATGCCTTCTTTCAAAAATACCGAGTTGCATTAGAAGTACAAGGGGCTCAGCATCGGCTTCATAGCACTAGCTGGTATAAAGATGTCAAAAAACTTGAGGATGTTGTAAATCGTGATCGGAAAAAAAGATGTATATGTCAAAATAACGGAATCTTCCTTCTTGAGATATGGTATGATGAAAAACCAGAAATTGTTATTCCAGAGAGGATACAAAAAATCAAGGGTTTTGTTAATCAAGCGTTTAAAATTTTCGACCTATAATCAATTCATAGTATATATTGTTAATATCTAAATTGCAGACAAGTGTTTAATATACAATTCGTATTTAATTTTTTCGTTATTAACTTTAATATACGATTATACTTCAGCGTAAAATGCATAGGACCCAAAGCCTTCAAGAATTCTTGCATTTTTCTCGCAAAGTAATCTGAACTTCGTTCGTCAATAATAATTAACCGTGGGTAGCGAATTTTACTTACTATTATACATATATCAAAAATTTAACAGCGAACTGGTTTCTGCTAAAATATTATGAGGTTGTGATTCATGATTGATTATCGGCAATAATAAGGACGTGTAGAGTTAATTATTTTGTCTACTTTGTTTTTCCTAGCTCACTTCTTTTTGCCGGAGGCAGTTACAGTAAGAATGGGTGAAATTGGAAAGCGGATTTCGTGAGGTCATAGTTAAATATCGGCGATATAGTATTCAACTTTTAATACATTTTTTATTGATGGTACACTAAACAAAAGTACGTCGAAATTATGCTAAAGCAGAAGCAGATATCACGCAGTTTTAATGCAATATTAAATATGAGCATTAATATACAAAGTAATAAATTGCAAAGTCTAAGGATATTAAGAAAGATTGTTAATGCTTGCAGTCTATTAAGTCTAAAAATATTCGGAAAGATTGTTAATAAAGTAAATAAATTGCATTCTATTAAGTCTAAAAATATTAGGGAAGATTGTTAATGAAATTGATTAAAGAAATTTCGTCTGTAGCCCTTAGAAACTTATATCCTTGGTTTGGCTGGTGTACAAAGAAAAAATGGTCCAATACATCACATCCAACAAGCGAGCTATCAATATGGGGACCGGGATCCCGTTGCCAAACTCTAAGTGTGTCTATCGTTACCCATTTGCTCCAGTTATTATTGTCTCCAATCGCCATTTCAAACGATGCCGTTGCAATAAAAACACGAGAGGGTGCACCATATCCTCTAGCTATTTTACTAGTAGGGTTCCACCCTTGTCTTCCTAGGGTAGAACGGACATAATAGGGAAGAGTTGTTTCCGGAGCTCCTGAATCAATAACTGATTTATACAATTTATTATTCTCGACAGGATCACGAAAATTGTAATCAATTGTAACAATTTTATTTGTATTTAAATTTCTAACTCGGATCCTAACCTTTATTTAAAAATGTAAACAAAAATGAATGCATATTCGCACTAATTGAAACCGATTTAATTGCATCAAACTTCAGACCATGTGTTCATCTTCATTATGTCGTGCATTTACTGTCCTTGCTGGTGCTACCTTTACAAGATCTTCACGGCGTTTTGTATCTACTGGTAGGTATATCGCGCCTGGCATTTCGTTTTCGAGATCCCATAACTCTTTGCTTGTATATTCTGACCCATACTTTTTAACTTCTTGTTTATATATCAAAACCCAACTGTCTTTGTGCTCGTCAAACGTACCCCTATCGAGGTTGTCGAAGAAGGAGATCAAATTCAGTCCTGCTTCATCATCAAATTCCAGAGCACTATCATCTGCTATGTAAAAAAAAGCTGTTGCCCTATCATCATCATTCATTGATTGGGGCCACCTGAAGTTCGGGGGCATCCGATCTACAGAAAGTATTATATTAAAGCACTGCAGTTGTATTGATTGTAATCATTCTGAAAATTCCGGCCTTACCTAGAAACTTCTGAGCTTGTCCAGGTCTTGTTTCATAGTTGTGAAGGGAATCAACCGTCTCAGGTGGATTGAGCACAGAAGGACTCAGCATTTCGGGGGAATCAAACGTCTCAGGTGGATTGGATATTTCAGGAACAGAAGGATTCGGTACTTCGGGCTGAATGGACGTTATATCATTAAGAGTTATTAAATCGAATTCATTTCAATAAACACTGGAATGTTAAGGACAGAACCGAACCTCTTTTTTCTTTTTAATATTTTTCAAAAACTTGGGTATCTTAAATACACTCTTTTTCTTTTTTTCGTTAGAAGCAGACATAATTAAATTTCATGAAACTAATCAAAGTTAATACTAATCAAAGTTAATACTAATACTAATCAAAGTTAATATAATATACCTACAATGAAAATTACGTCACAATTACATACTGATCTGACATATCATTTTAGTCATATTAGTATAAATAGCGGTGAAACTTACAAAAAATCGGATCGTTTAATCAGCTTAATAAATATTCAATCAGCACATATTAATTTACAGTATACATAAAAATAATTTATCAATCTGGATAATTTGATACTTTATTAGTCACAAATTTGCTATTTTATATGGAGATTTATCATGATCGGCCAAATATATATATATATGGCGCAGTATCACGTGATAATCACGTTGGCGTGACGGTTCGTCACGCGATCGGCAAGGAATTTGTTACTCTATCTATAATAGTTTGCATCTGGGAGACGGTTAAACTAGCAATTGCATCGGCACTATAAGAATGAACTCTTTTGATTTTTTTTACACCTATTTTCTTAAACAGATTATAAATTGCTCTAGCTCTTTGGGTTTTTTTACGCAGAGTATCTTTTGTGATACCGGATAGATGATCCCTAATTTCGTCATATACCTTCGTCCTAGCCTGTTGGTCGCCAATTCTTCTGTCATTATCTCTAATACTCATAACCTTTTTTTCAAACTCTTCAGCATAATAGTACCAGCACCGAATTTCTTCTTGATAGGCCTGGGTCACACGATTTTTGGCTTTAAGTGCTTTTTGATATAATCGGGCTAAAGAATTCTCGCTTTCTCCTTTTTTGATTTCAGCGGTCTCGCCTTCGACGGGTGAAGATAGTTCCCGAATCAACTCCAGCAATTTATCCTGTTCACGAGCAATCTTGGGCGATGCTTGACGAGATGTTCAATTTTGTGCATTGGTAGTGTCACCCCCTCATCCGTGAATTGATCCTGTATAACGGTATCATTTATATCAGATTGATTGGTCGAGTTAACCTGCACTAAGTTACCTTTTTCGTTGGTAATGGGATTTGTAGCTTGCTCTTGTGTAGAGAGAGAATTATTTGCAATCGGACTTGTGGCTTGTTCTTGTGTTGTAACGGGATTATTTGCAAACGGACTTGTCCCACGATCCTTCACGTTAACTTGTTTTGTTATTTCAACCGAAACGGAAGAAGAATCTTTTTCAGCGATTAATCCCAATCCTTGCATAAATTCCACATCGTCGTCATCATTGCCAATGGTTACGTTTGATTGCTGGGAGGCTTTTCCTTTATCATAACTTCTGGGTAAGACATCATATTCGCCGGAAGTAAAGACCCGGAAGAAAGACAACAACACGTTATTGAACTGGTATTAGAGCGATTTCCTTATTTGACTCTGAAACATAGTTTTAACAATGATTACTTCGATTTTAACAGTTCTATATCCTGCCCTATATGTAATAAAAACCATAAAAAAGAAAATATAAGAAATCATATAGAGGGTTTTTGGGGTAGTGGCAAATTTTGCGGTGAAAAAGCTTATCGTTTCTATTGCTATACAAATAAATATCAGAATTCAATCCAAATAGTAAGTATAAAAGCATAAGTTGACTTCGACAATGCATATATAACGATAAATTATTTTTCCGCGATCACATGGGTTTGCTCCCCTGGGGTTCTATGACACGTGTTTATTTTTCCGAAATAATTTTTGAATATATCCGCATCTTATATAACAATGTTTTACACACAATCTAAAATCAATTTATCGAATCAGCGTATTATGATACTTGAGGTTAAAAACGCAAAAGTTAAGGCAACGCTGACTAACGCACGATCTAAAATCGATTTATTGGAACAGCGTATTATTATACTTGAGGCCGAAAACACCAAGGTTAAGGCAAAGAATGCCGAGCGTGAAGTTGAAATTGCTAAGTTTAAAGCTGAGTCTTTACGGGAGGTTAAGACGCGCGAAAGGATTGAAAAAACTATGCTAGACTTAGATGGGTGTTTATATCGCAAATCATTATCTATGAAATAGTTAGTATATCATTTTTCCGCGATCACATGGGAGGGGCTCTATGTCACATGCATAGGTATAAATTAAGCTATAATAATTAGTAAAGCCAACAAGACTAATATATACATATCATTTTTCTGCGATCACATGGGTTGCATAAATTACAACTACGATCAGATTCACACTCAATCATTAACACTTGCGAAACCACGAAATAAAAATAACAAATAATTGATAACTTTATTGATAATAATTGTATAGCAGAGCTAGTGCCTCTGGCACATATTTCAATATTATTTTTTACGTTAAATTATGATTCATAGAATCGTGGAGTAGCGGACGTTTAAAGGGAGGAACATCTCGAGCCCTAACCCATAAAATGAGAGTTCCTTTCCCTACTCCGTATTACTAGCTAAGTTATCATCTAAAATTATAGCAGAGCTACCATGGGTATTTCTACCGCTAATTATAACAGAGTTATCTTTTTTCCGATTTACTTTTTCAACCCATTCTCCGATTTTATCTAATGAAGTCTTTTGCGGGGATCTCTGGTGTCGATAAAAAGTAGCGAGTGTGGCCGAGCTGAGATTGATTTCTATGGATAAGGCATTATATATTTTTGTGGGAGAACATTTTTCTCTTTTTCTTCTCTCGTCAAATAGGGCAGTAAATTCAACCCAGAGAGTTTCGGTTTCGCTAGGATATTCGGACCTGTAGCTTTGTATAGATACTTGTCCTAATTATAGAATACAGGTATATAAGTAATGAGTTTCGCTCTGAATAAAATATGAGAAGCTACATGTTAAATTTGCAATCGTTTCACAAACCTCTACTTCGAACTTCACTTCTCCATTCCATTTCATTTTGCATTTTATTCATATCATTTTTTAGAGCCAACGTATCACGTTTTAAGTCTTTTATATCCACATTTATCGTGGTAAGAATTTGGTTTTGTATTGAGCCGGGGGCAGGAGATGCGTACATATTTCTTCGAACAAAAAATAATAGAATTGCAAGAATAGCGTACATTGTTATATTTTCCTGGGCAAATGCATAAAGCATCTCCATTGTTAAGAGTCCCCGAGCGTATAATTCGCAGATCGTGGTTGTAATGACGAAAATTGCGATTAAAAAAATATCGGATGTATTATAAGGCATTTTGCGATTATTTATTTATAAACGATTAAATGATAGTTTGAATATGCGCAATTGATAAATCAATTAATTATTGATTTTGACGTTTGATATGACTCAATCCCTTACCTGAAACTCCAGCGATATCGACATGTTTTATACATTAAAACCCAGCATCAGCTATCCATAGCATTGGTTCTTTATTTTTCGTACTAAATCGAACTAATAAATTGCCAGCGATCACAAAATATGATGTCTTCGTACTAATTATGTGCATCGGATGATCGATCACCTATAAAATCGTGTGCATACATCGCCGATAATTGACAATTTCCTATGTATCACACGATTTTTGTTTGTTACTTAATTGAGGTGCAATGAGGTCTTATTTTGGAATAAATGGGTTTCGATTCTCAACATGTATCACAGGCGGTATACGTGTAATGCAATATATAAAAAATCCCGATAATCATGATCAATTATTTTTTTACTTTGAATGTATATTATTATAAATATAGTTCACAAAAAATGCTATCTGAAATAAAAGAAAACGGAATCAATACTAGCAATGATGTGAGCCGGCTTTCAGCTAAAGTTACTCACCTCGAGTTTGTAGGAGATAGAACATCGGCCTCCGGTAAAGATATTACCCTTTTAGAAGAATTTTTAGTGTCGGCATGTAAAGAACAGAAAACATCTTATAGTACAAGCCTAAGAAGTCTCAAAATTACACATTATTTCAAACTCTCAGCTAATTTACCACATTTTTCTACTTTTGCAAAATGGTCCATTACTGATTCATTTCCTTGCTCCAACTCCCCAAATCGGATTTTTTGAATATCAGTAGGCCCGGTTGAAATAAATTTTAAATGCTCAATTATTTTATTCAGAGAATTTTTAAACCCGAATCGAATTACTTCTTTTTTATTTTCTCGTGATAGACCATTGAAGAAAGTCCCCTTAAGGTCTTGATTATTTAAGTTGATACCTAATGATGCGGCATATACCTTTATCGTCTTGACATATTCATCCATGGACTGATTGTGTTGTGTAGGCGGCGGAATTCCTGATCTAATAACTAATGGTATAGCAGTTTCATCAAGGAGTGTAAGAATTTTATTTGGGAAGTCCAATTTCATTGCATTATCTTTAAACCATGGCTGATCCAATATCAGTACAGATTCAAGTTTGGGTTCATTGGTAACGAAAACATCGGTAACTTTTATTTGCTCCCATTTTCGATCTTGAGACAGGACCGAAATTTCCATTGCACGAATTATTCCCAATATATCGGGCTCGCTAATGAGACTGTATATTTCTGTATCAGATATATTATCAATTTTCAAGTTTACTATTTTTGTTATACTCTCGCCAATAATATTACAATTAGTGCCGGAATCTAATATAGCTATAACTGGTACTTTACTGATTTCGCAAGATAAAGTTATCATTGTGATTCTATATTTAAT